CTTGACTCTTACCACCGAACATTTCACAAGAGGTCGATTTTTGAAAAAAATCAGTCGCCCCAAAATTCATTGAATTCTCCATCATTTTCACCGTAAAGAGGCTTGAAATAAAACTAGCTTATTCTATTCAGATGCGAAATACTTTTTATGAGCGCTCTACCTCCATTTGTTCCCGAAAAATGAGCAAAAACGTAATGGAAAACATTAACTTTTGGCCTAATCTTGAACCTAAATGCCTGACATTCAAATTTTACTTTTGGGTCGAAACTGCCAGAGTGTCCTTACGTACGTTGTCCTAACTGAATGGAGTTTTTAAATATCTACCCAGTGATATGGAAACGAGCTCTGTTGCTCAAACAGCTCTGGAAAAACGTCGAAAAACGCAGCGTCATGATTAAGTCGATTTTGAAAAAAAACAGCCAAAACTGGATCTGGACTTTTTGAACAAATTGCGAGATTTTCTTAGTGGATACTCAACTGCCTAAACGCGCCATTGATTTATCTCTCCTCAGATGCAAAAATTAGCGCTTTAGGTCAATTTGTTCCCAAAAAATGAGCGACAACGTGAAGGAAAACATGAAAGTTTAGCCTAACCTTGTACATAAAGGTCTGATATTGAAATTCCGAGTTTTGGGAAAAACTGCCAAAATTTCCTCATGCCCGTTGTTCAACCTGAATGAAGTTTCCATTTGGTTACTCAATGATATGAGCCCAAAAAGCACAGTCGTAAAATTTTGTGTTTTGATCGAAAATGTATAAGGGTGGGGTATGAAGTCGATTTTTTTAAAAATCCGAGTCTCTCAAAATGCCTTGAATTCTACATCGGAAGGAAGCGAAGAATGCAAGCAAGGTAGGAAGTGAAAAACACGCTTGACCCTCCACATAAAAAATAATGAACATTTTCTGTCCATTTTGAGGCGTTTTTCTGCGGTCAAAATCTAGCCGATGGTATCTTTCTTATTTTAAATTCAAACCTGTGTTGTTTTTTTTTAACTTTCTTAGGTCGGAAACACTTCAATGCGTTTTTTCCGCAAAAAAGAAGCGGTAAATTCAATGAGCTTCATAGAACACACACTAAAATATTCAGATCCAAAAAAATCTGCTACCTCCTTTCGCTCACAAGTTGTATTCGGGCGACCGAAATCTCATTAGCAAAATGTTGCACGATATACAGATTAGGAATCAACGGTGAAGGATACAAATGGTAGTGCTCGTTCTTCGTCGGGTAACCTTATACTTACTTCCGGAATTATCTTGTTTCTGTACCAGGGATTAAAGCTTTGTGAACTTGCAACGCTCACAACCAGAAGGATTAACAGCTTCTGAAGCATTTCTCTAAACATTTTTATTGCCATTTGCATGCAACGTTTGTTTTAATGAATCGCGTCGCTTTCTAAAACTATGCAAAAAACAATCACTCCATTAAATTCCAGCTTTCGAAATAATTCCGATTCAAATCCATTTATCTCTATCGCGTATTTCAAGCCGCTTTGTCAACGAAATTGCCAAAGTTTTTGCCATTTGGGATTGGGAGGATTTGATAAGGGGTTATTTTAAACCAGCGCATCACGCGTAATGATTTGTGAAATTGTTTTCTTTTATGTGCTAACTTCGTTCCGAATTGTTCAGGGTTCTGGCCGGTACCTGATGACTTTGTGACAATTTCAGCAAAACCTACATTAGTTGCAAAAGTTTGTGTTTGCAGCAACGCTCATAAATCCGTATCAAAACTTTGCTCATTTAATTTATGCAAACAGTATTGTCAGCAGCCACTTGTGAATAATTTCCTCGTAAATCTCGGCCACTAAACTGGTTGTAAAACATCGTCAGCCTTGCCACTCTGATTAGATTGCGAAAGTTTTTTTCGCAGTTAAAGAGGCACAACCACCAGATTCCCTCATGCAACAGTCTTGATCGTTTTTTAAAAGTCATTTTAATCTCGTTGGCGCAAATGCGAATTTAATGTTACGTCTGAAAAATTGTTTTCTGAATACAAATCTATGAAGGCGATCGCACTGAATTAAATTAGGTAGAAAATTAAATAAAACCTTTCTCAAGCCACTGGAGTTATTTAAGAGAATTGGCTTTTGTTTCATTTATATGAATCATTTTTTTATGGGCAATAACGGATTTTGCTGGATAATTTAGCACGCAATTTGCCTAATGATCAAGTCGCGTAAACAAAGGCCAAAGGTGAACTCAGAATTTTGCAAAGAATTTACATTTGCAGGAAGATTTTCCTTTTTACGTTGGAAGTTTTAATTGGAAACTCTGAGCAGTTATGTTTTTCTGTCCAGTTATGTTTTTGTTCATTGAATATTCAATAAAATCGGATTTTACAAAATCAGTTTCGGTCAATTTGCAACGAAATTTTTTCAGCCAGATTAAAGTTTTAATTTTGGCTTAGGATTTCCGGATTACCTGGGTTCCGGGATTATATGTTTGATCGGTTTCAGCGACAGATAAATCCTAATTTAATGGTTCTTTTAATTGAGGGATTAAGAGGCCAATTTCTGTTCGGTTTATTGGAATAGTTACGCTATTTTTCTGAGTGGAAACTTGCTTGAACACGCTTATTCTCCTCGATAAGGGATTAAATATGGATGGATTTCAACGGGAAAATATTCAGTTCGGTTATTCCAACTTTGTTTGAAATTTAAATTGGAAACTTTGTTGACAGTTAGATTCTAATATTTTGAATTAAAACAAAGCAATTTTGAGCTCTAATTCATTCACAGCCACATGGAAGAAGATCTAAAACCTTTCAGTATGTGTTAGTGGTCAGTCAATTAGGATGAGAACGTTGATAGAAATATTCCCTTTGCTCTTGATCTAAGTCTAAAAGCGGAATCGCACTAATTTACACATTTTCGTTGTTTCAGCCTATTTTCTGATCTCCGCAATCTGTCTGGAACGACCCTCATGAATTTGTTATCAGCGCTATTCATGACCCAACTACTCTATGTTATTGGTGTCGGAGGTGTAATGGTGAGTTTTATGGGTAGTTATTCCCAAATCGATGTTAAAAATGCCATGTCTAAGTCAGTTGCTTTTTTAATGGAAAAATCACATTTTAATGGAAATGCAACTGGATTTGCACATGCCATCGAAATCATAATTTTTGCGCCTGAATTCTAAGGAATTTGCCATTGTTTTTTGAATCAAACCAATCCTTTAGTTGATTAGTGAATATTACGTGAAGAACCGCCCTGGAGCACTTTGTGATTGCTAACGGCAATTTTCAGCAATTCACTGAAATTGCCAATTCGATTTCAAAAAGTTTGGCCGCAACTTTTCTTGAAACGAATCGCTCCATTACATTAATGAAAAGTCAACTCAATAACTCTTTGTTCGTGCGACATTGATTGAGAGGGCCCTCTACCCCTCTTCAATGCACGTTTTTCCTTTATTCGATGTGTTTCGAGAAACACTATTTTCATCTCAATATTTATCAAGAACCGTTGTGCGGGTTTCAAGTTTGCTCGAAGAAATAGAGTTTAGAGAGTGCAAATGGAGTTTGAGCTCCAGCTGGAAATATATGTCGCCAGACGACCTTTTCGTGATTAAATTTCACTGTTAAAATTGCAAATGGAACTTGTGACTAAATTGAAGTTATTCACATGCTATGAGCTTACTTCATCAAAGCATTGCACCGTAACTCGATTGAAAAAAAATTCAACTCGAATGGCTCGAACAATATAATTTTCTTCCAAACTGAGCAATTGCAAATAAGCAAAACAACCAAATGAAACCAGTAATATTTTCCAACCGCCGAAGTTCCTGAACCCAAACAGCTAATTTAATCTTCCAATGATTTACGGGTTTCTCGCTGGAAAAACGTAAGATCCTGGTAATAAAAACCAAAATGGAGCAACAAACCCGATCATTACCGTATAATGAAAATATAGTGCAAAACTTATGATGCCTGAAGCAGCTGCTTTTTTAAAAGCGCAGTATAAAAGCTCCCATGGGTCTAAGTGAGAGTAGTAAGGAAAAGTCCTAGGAAGATTTTCACATTTTTCATAATATAATTTTCATTATAAGCAAGTTAAAATTATCAACTTGACTTCAGATAAATTGCGTCTGTATTATTTGTTCAAATATGTGCCTCATTCAACAGCAGCTGAACGAGTCTCTTAAGACGTTAATAAACGAGAAAAGAGGAAAACGTAACGATGCTGGATGGGATAATCTCATAAATACTGAGATTTCTTACGTGACCAGAATTTGTCAGTATTCCTTATGTTCCTTTTGTACAGTCCCGAAAACGTCACTGCTAATTCATCCGGCGACTGAGAGTCTCAAGAATTATTTGTGACGGACATAATAATAATGGAATTTTGGGATGATTTAGCCTTCGCATAAAATCGCCATTACATTGAATTATCTGGTTCGTTTAAAAGTTACGGCAATTTAATAACCGAAATATTAATTAGCATTTAAATTGGGTTTTAGAGAAGCGCGAAATTTCGCAGAAAGTTTGAAACTTTTATCAAACAACTGTTTTAAAATTATCATATATTGATTTTATGGTAAAAAGTTTGCAAAATATTCTACATTTGCCCCTTGATAGTGAGCTACTAAGCATTTCCATGTTGGAAAATTGTTTGGCAAGCGATTTTAAGTAGTGTTTATTTTAATCTATAAAGTGGGTACTTAAACCTGAATTTTTGCATGGTTTCTCGTGATTCAATTTTTCATTAAAATTTTGATTCGAAAGTGTAAGAGTTTCGCTTTTATATGTTGTTTTTCGTTGCTCTATAGCAAGCCTTGCGAATTTTGAAAAACGACTATTTTGTTCAAAATTTATAGCAGCGACTATAAAATCCGCGTGTAGCTCTGGTGAAGCCCAATTACAGACAAAAGAACTACAATTTTTTCTAAATTTTAGAAATCACTTATAAGTTAATGAATCCGATTTCTATTAAGGCACGAACACGAACTTCCATGATATGGACGAAACATATTGAAAATTTCCCTTTACAATTAATAAACGACATGCAACAAAAGCACGAAAGAGTTGTTTAGAAAGGGTTGGAAAGATCGGTATGATAAAAGTGAAGGTGGTGAGTCTTAAAAAGCTCAACGGCAAAAAGCAGCGCTAATTTGCCCCGAGTTATTAACGTTTCTCATTTAAGCCGAAAAGCAGGAAAAGCAACAGGAACCACGTTAATAGCCAATTTTCCCTAACGCTTTTAATTGGCGAACATTTACTGTACCACAGCGAACGATAAAAGGGAATAATGGGCGGAAAAGAGGCCCCAAATAAGGGACAAATAACTTGCAATTATCAGCAGATACACAATACGACAAGGAAACCACTGAAAAAAAGTTATAAGATGGTGACAAAAAGCTTTAAAGAATATTTAAATGAAGCTTAACATACATTTTTAATGGTCTAGGAAGGAACAAACTAAATAGCTTCTGGTGAAAGTGATAAAACAGAATGAACTAATGAATGACTTTAAAACCCCATACTGAAGAAAATATAATCATTAAAAATGAGATTCAAATTCACATCATGTCGAAAGGTGAAAATCGAGTTTTCACAATTTTAAATATGTGATATTGGAATTTCCGCGTTGGCAAACATCAGCCCTGACAACACATTTTCAAACAAAAGAATGAAATATGGACTGAAGCGAAAATTACGCATTCAGGTGGCAGATCTGATGCATTCGAAATATTTAAATATATTTTCGCTACTGCTGCAAAAATAAAGCTTGGAGATTTCCTATGGATACAATGCCGAGAAAACCAGAAATTTAAATATTAGAATGGTGTTTGATTGTTGCGAAAATTACGCCTCTCTCCCCTCTCGGGAATTAACTTGAACAGTGGAAACCTTGAGAAAATTGGCAAAGAATAAATGCATTAAAAGAAGAGAACGTCCATTTTAATAGTGAAGTTAAACTCCCAGAAGGTTTTGATTTTAAGCGTCTATTCATCGTTGGAAGCTTTTCAGTGTTTTCGATCGTGTTGCAACTTGATCAATGTTTAATCTGGAAAGTTTAGTTCAGAGTGATTAGAATTCGCTTGACTTCTCGCTGGTGTGCCTTGAAAATTTATGTGCATTTCAAAAGAGAAACACACAAACTAAATAAGCAGAACAACTTTTATTTAATATGTTAAAAGTTTTAAAAAGTTCTTGAGATTTTTTCACAAAAACTCTTAGCAGTTGCAAATCTAAATATTTAAGCTAATTTTTAAATTGACTTGATGATTTTTATTGTTATTCATTAACTTAAAACCCTAAACAACTAAAGCGCAAATTGTGCTTTTAATTAAGTTAGAAAAGTGTTTTAGTTGATTTTAGTGAAATTTGAGGAAAAATCTAAAATGCGGACATTTTCGTCATAAAAACAATCCCCTGTCACACAAAGACTTTGGCGTATATTAAAACAAAACCTACCAACTTCCACTAGGCCGTGGAATATTTTAAGTCGGGCAAATTTCCCAGAAGACATATTTCGGTCAAACTTTTCTGATATGTGCTAAAGGGAATAAAGTGCAAAGTTTCGGGTTTGCAATGAGATTTCCACAGATATACATTACTGCCAAGAAAACGCTAATGTAGTTCCCAAGTTGCAGTTTCGGGAATAGTTGATACGTTATTAAAGCTGCCGGCTCTGAAAGAATAGGGTATGCCTGCTGCTATTTATAAGGATTTTTTTAAATAATTATTACGATACCAGGATAAAACAAGAAAAGCATTGGAAAAATTTTCCGGCCAGGAAAGCAATATCAATCTTATTTATTTTACCGGCACTAATTGCAAGCGAAAAAGCTTTCCCAACACTTTCACTATAATGATTTTTTCGGCTGGAATCATTAATTAAAACTTTCAGCAATTAGTGAGTATTATCCCCATTGTCATCCATAAAGCACGTATCGAGGCCTTTGTTGATAGACAAAGCTTCAAAAGCATCTGCCTAAAACTATCAAAACACTTTAATCAGTCTCGCTGAAATAATGGATCAAATTTAAATGAGCGCCACTTAAATTCGCCTGATTGAACCATTTTCATTAGAGCTAATCTGAAATTATCCCCATTATTCTGGCTAATGCTTCCGACTTATTCTTTTCCCTCAATACGCTTGCCTACAAAGTCTGCAGTTTATTTAATCAACAATATTTTATTATGGCCATTAAAGGCAGTTTCATTAACTTTGGTAGGTGCGCTATGTTTGTGTTTAATGGCCAGCGCAAACTACCGAAGCCACAAAACTGGAGGCGTTGAAATGGAATTACCTAATGGATGACAAATAAATCGTCATTTTTATGTGATAGTTAAAACACATATATAACTTTCTATCAGTAAATGGGCGCCAGCGGGTAAATGGGGCACGTTTAAGGTCTTCTGTTTCAGATGTAAATATATTGCACATCAATTCCCACTTTACGGGTTTGGACACGTTTATTGCGTACCTTGCTTTTAGGGCCTATTGTTTTACTTTAACATCTGCTCAAGTTCAGGTCGCTAATTTCTATATTTCACGCTTAATCCGGCGATAAGGTTAACTGAAAGCCGTTGAACATTATGTTAGTAACATCGCAAATAAGCGCTTATCGTACTTGCAATGTCTCTTTTTGTCTGGGTGATTTTTAATTAATTTTGCTTTACCTTTGGCTTTTGCTCAATGTCAGTTTTGCTTTTAAAAACTAAGTAGCTTTATCATGACTGACACAATAATGAGTCAAGCAAATTTCATTCAAAGCGAAGAAATAGCTGCAAAAGAAAAACTTTAATAGCCTGTAAAAAAAATTCTATTAGGTGCCTATTGTTTTGCCCAAAACACTTTTAAATTTTTACAATGCAAGTTTTTTCGACCAAAATATTATTGTTTTAATTTAATGGGCAGCATTTTACTGAGTGATGAATAAAACATTTATTTTCATGTCGGTAAACCCGCCCCTTATGTATCAAGATGCTAATTTAATTAAATCTCTTCAAATCCGTACTCGAGATTAGGGAAGGGTGCAATTAA